TTTCACTCTTGTTACCCAGGCTGGAGTGCAATGGCGCGATCTCAGCTCACCACAACCTCCGCCTCCTGAGTTCAGGCAATTCTCCTGCCTCAGCCTCCTGAGTAGCTGGGACTACAGACACGCGCCACCATGCCCAGCTAATTTTTTTTGTAGTTTTAGTAGAGACGGGGTTTCACTGTGTTGACCAGGATGGTCTCGATCTCTTGACCTTGTGATCCACTCGCCTCGGCCCCCCAAAGTGCTGGGATTACAGGCTTGAGCCACCGCGCCCGGCCCAGTAATCTGATTCTTTAGAATTCAGATAATTCACCTTATTTGCACTCCCTTGCTCTGTCTGGCCCTGTGGGAAAATTCCCTTGCCTCTTTCTATGGGTATGGTCCACTGTATCTCATCATGACTTTTATGCTTTTTAAGTATTATTCTTTTAAAGAAAGAAAAGAAATTCCCATAGTACACCAAACTCAAATACAGTAACGCATGACAGGACAAATTAAAGTAACATTTCAGCCAGTTTGCTGTACATACACACAGTGTTTTTATAGTTGCCAATTTTTGAATGATTTGTTTTTGAAAAAGATAAAAGACATTCTATACGTATTGTTCTTGCTTTTTGTCACTTAGTAAGACCACAGATATCTTTCCATATCAGTCCAAATATTCATTCTTTGAACTGCTTAAGATTCCCCAGCACATACTCCCCACTGCTGACGAACACTTAAGTTGCTTCCAGCTGTTTTCACTGCTATAAATAAACAGTGCTGCAGAAAGTATCCTCGAACAATCAGGAAAACATTTCTGCAATTTAACCACCTGGAAGTGAAATTTCAAGATCAAAGGATATATGCCCTCTCAATTCTGATACTGCCAAAAAGACCACACCCTGGCAATGACACTCCCATTCTTCCGCATTTCCCAATCCTCCTGGTCAGTCTCAACGTTTCAGCTACCATTACCCTGTCACATTAGGACCTACCTTGGTGTTTTCCTCATAGTTACGGAGTTCCAGCAACAGATTCTGCTTCTTCTGACTTAGCTCTCGGATTAGGTCCTGCTCTACACTGGTGTCCATGAGGTTTCCCCTCATCTCAGCCATGCCAGGCAGGTAGCCCCGGACTGAACAGAAGGAAAAAACCCCAAGTATAACCAGGTATACATTTAGGTCATCAATTAATGCTCTTAAAAACAAAAACCTAAATTCTCCCCAACTTTGGTGAATTTATTAGAACTAGAGGATCTCAATACAAATACTTCTAGTGAAATTTCCTAGTATTTCGACCCAATCAAATGGAAAGTGTGACTTTTCAAGGATTTTTCTCATCCCAATTTACTTTCCCCATCCACTGAGCAGCAGATTAACTGTATATGGCCATCCATCCGGTAATCTCCTTCTACCACACCAGCAATTGCAGAAGAAAAATTGTCCTTAAAGATGACTTCCCCAGTTCGGTCACTTCGAGCATCAACCTAAAAATAAAACAAGAATTTAAAAAGTTGCTTACACTATATGTTTAAAAACCACAAAATTTAAAAATAAAAATCAGCTTTAAAGGTCATTCAGTCTAGCAGTTTTCAAGAGCATTCTATAAAGCCCTATGACTTCTCAGGAGATACCTATAACTGCTGGGGCCAAGATGGACCCAAAGGAGCCTCAACCAGCTGTGCTTTCTTCCTTTTAAATAAAAGCTGTTTTTCATACTGGCTTCACACAATGCTTCATTTGAAGAAACAGGTCTGCTAACAGCCAGTACATATAGTACACACAGCACAGTGCAAAGGGCATGGGCTTAATAGCCAAACTGCTCAGGTTCAGACTCTAGCTCTGACACATCTTAGTGTCTTAATCATTCTGTGCTTGGTCTTTTCATCTGAGGAACAATAACCAGAACATGGAGAAAATAACAGTACTACACTTCATAGGGTTATAATGAAGTTAACATATATAAACAAGGCCTGACACACAGAAGTACATAATAAACGTTAGCTCTGTATACAAGTTGTATCTTTATTATATATAAATGTATAAAGTATGTTTAATCTGAAGTTCGAAAACTGTGGAGTTAGCTCAGTCTTCCACCACACAACCTTTTACAACAACCCTGTTAAGAGTCCCTCTTCCACATAAAAACTATTCAGATATCTTAGAGAGCTTTCTTATCCTCTAAGTCTCCTATTCCCAAGAGATAAAACAAATAAATAAATGACTGATCAGCAACAAATGCATCTCAAAAGCAATAATAAATGACCATCACTTAAAATATGATTATGAGGCCAGGCATGGTGGCTCACGCCTGTAATATCAGCACTTTAGGAGGCAGAGGTGGGCAGATCATGAGGTCAGAAGATTGAGACCATCCTGGCTAATACAGTGAAACCCCATCTCTACTAAAAATACAAAAAATTAGCCAGGCATGGTGGCATGTGCCTGTAGTCCCAGCTACTCAGGAGGCTGAGGCAGGAAAATTGCTTGAACCTGGGAGGCAGAGGTTGCAGTGAGCCAAGATCACACCACTGCACTCCAGCCTGGTGACAGAATGAGATTCTGTCTCAAAAAAAAAAAAAAAAAAAATGATGATTATGTTCCAGGCGAGGACACAGGTATTATCAACAAAAGGCTAGCTACAGAAAATCTGGCAGAGCAATCATTTCAATGACCAATGCTACTCACTATTTTTGTCTTTTCATCAACAATCTTCTGGGGAAAATTTTGCAACCAAAACACAAAGTAGTTTAGGTCATAGCCTATCCCTTGTCTACAGTATATCCCTGTCAAGTATCCAAGCTATTAATAACATCATAGAAGCCTGACAATTATGAATGCTGAAGCCTGTGAAAGAATGAATGACCTGTATTTTTACCAAAGCACATTACTATAACTCTGTAACTCAGACTGACTTGAACTTGCATCATTTTAGTTAAAGCCTAGCTACCTAATGGCTTCTAGCACTGCATTTCCACAATATTTAGCAAATATAAGGTTCATTTGCTAACTAAGAAGCAGGACTACAAATTAATCCTTCTGTGGATATTCTGATCTTTTGCTTAATCCAACATGGAGGTTTTACCCTGAAAGGAAAGGATGGCCTTCCAACTCATCAAATGACATACAAAAGATGAAGTTAACTGGCTAGCAGCATTTATCTAGTACTTTCACACCCGTATTCGCCAGTTGGATCTGTATGCTTCCCTTTTGCATATTTCTGTTAAATGTAGACAATCGGTTTTTCCACTTATATAATTTTCTTATCTTTTTCATGCTCAAGAACAGATTACATAATAGAAATTCCTTAAAATTTCAAAAACATTTAATTAAAAAAAATCTAGGTCAAGAGTTCTATTTCAAGGTAACCTGGCAAGTTTTCAAATCTAGTAGTTTTCTAAGTCTTAAATCAGTCATAATAATTTATATTCCCTCAATATATGGTCCACTGCTATGGTCTGAATGTGCCCTAACAAAATTCGTATGTTGAATCCTAACAGCCAAGGTAACGGTATTGGGAAGTGAGAGGTGAATAGGTAATAAGGGTAGAACCCCCATGAACAAGATTAGTGTCCTATAAAAGAAGGCCCAGAGACATCCCTTGCCCCTTCCATCATGTAAGCCTTCTGTCTAAGAGGAAGTGATCCCTCAGACACCAAATCTGCCAACACCTTGATAGGGGACTTCCCAGCCTCCAGAACTATAAGAAATAAATTTCTGTTGTTTATAAGCCACCCATGCTATGGTATTCTGTTACGGCAGCCCAAACCAACTAAGACATCCATTTCACAGACTTCCATATTTCTTAATAAGCAACTATACAGTCTTCTAATTTTTAGTACCCATAGTAATGACAAAACTAAGTGCAAAAGCAGAAACTGACATAACAGCTCTTTAGAATCTGTTCTTCACATAACACCAAAGGAATACTGATAAAGTGCTCGAGAAAAGTAAAGATATATCAAAGAAGAGAAGATAAGAATTTGCGCATCCCCTTCAGGCAATCCAACACTGAGACAAAAAAGTGAGGGCAAATGGTATCCATGGAGATCTGGCAGCTACCTAGGCAGCTTCTAAGAAGACAATCCTAACTTGCCAAAAGACTGTAAAAAATTCTGATTTTAAGTTAAAAAAGGAAAGCATGCAAAAGGATTTTATTTTAAAGTTATGGCTCAGAAAACAATATGCTAACATGATTCTTCCCATTAGTGCTAAGTTTTCAAGCAGTTCTGAAGATTTATTAGAAAAGAGCTATTCAAACAATTCCTTAAAACTCCTTTTTTACTGTCCTGTTCCCTAGAATCATCCTGGCTGATGGATTCTCAGTCCTTCAAAAAAGAGATTTAGAAAGAATCTCCCTGAAGATTTCCCCCAAACAACGCTTATAAGACTTACACTCTCTCACTTTGCAGTTCTTGATAATGATAGCAGGAATAACGTGTCAAAAGTATTGAGTTAAATGTGAAAACACAGCCAAGGAACTGAAGTTTACATCCCAACATTATGGTTCTAAGTCCTATAGTCAATACGCCTTGGACAATTATTACTTTGAATTATACCTGAACTTTGCTATTCCAACTTACCTTCCCATTGGACCAACCAGTTATCAGTTCATTCACTCCATCAGAATTAAGGTCAAAAGCATGAATGCTCATGGCATGATTTTTTGACTGAAAAAGAATTCCAATAATTAGCACAGAAGTCTCACAATAAGTATCAAGTCCCTGAATATCAAAGGCTGACTTATACTAACTTTAATTCTCCAGTATCGGGCTGTTTTTTCATAAACTCCAACTGTGCCATTAGAAAGGGCATAACCAAATCGACTGCCATACATGGGACAAAGAGAGGTGACTACCTGGAAAACAATACATAAAAACACAACATCTTTTCATTAAGGCTCAGTTTACTGTGAAGAACAGCTTCATAAGATTTCACACGCCTTGTTACAACTATGTTAAAATTAGATTTAAAGGCACTTCCAATCCATTAGTGGGGAATGTATTCCTCTTCTCTATGATACATGTCATCTATTTCAGAGTTGTATAATCAGATTTAAATAAACTCACAGAATTTGGTGTTTTAGAGCAACCTTATGTGGCAAGTTTCAGGAAATTATTTTTAAAAAACACATGAAAACTAACGGACTAAGGAAGAAATAAGCTAAGTACACAAGATCAAGAATATGCACATACAATAGATATTATTTATGTTCACCCTAAAGGTTTTAATGATTATTACTTAACTTACAATGTCCTACATTCTAAATTTTTAAGACTTACAACAATCCGCAATTGAATATCTTACTTCATATGTATACTTTTCTATGACATAATTTATTGTTTGCTAGCTAGAAGTAAAAGAAAGAACACACAATCCTTTGAAAAGTAAAAACCCAAGCACATGGATCTGTGTAGTATGTAACAATATACAGAATGCATATATGATACAGAAGTAGTTATAGGACCGTTCAAGGATTTCACATCCTTAAAAGTATAAAATTTTAGGTACTGAAGAAAACTTTCCTTTAAAGTTAAAACCAAAGCTTAATGATATCCATGATTCTGCAGATTACTTTCTAATTCTGCTCCTAATACAAGAGATATTAAGAAATAAATTGTATAAAGCAGAGAATAGTTATATAATTTCCTTTACACCTACAGCTTTTCTACAAAACCACCCCCTTCACTTAACTATGAATACAAAGTGCTGTGTAGGATTCCAGAATTATTTAGCTCAAGGCATTCTTCTGATAATACTTCCTATTGTTCAACTGCCAAATGAATCATGATTTTGCTGATCTGGGAAAAGATATTTGAACTAGGAGCAAAAACCTAACAAAGAGAACAGGAAAATGGCCCTGCAAATGAACAATGTTATAAAGTCCATATTTTCATAAATTTAGCCCCAGATTCCTGAGCTCCTTTAGTGCTTCCTTAGTTCACCAGTTCCTTCCTTTCATGGACTAGAAGATCAACAAGTCCCCTCAAATCCCTAACTCTATTCCAAGTTCTTATCCTTTTTTCTAGGATTTAGGAAAGAGGTGTTTCAAAGATTTCAGTCTCCTCACATCTAGTATTAACAAGCAACAGAAATCCAACAAAATCTGAATGATTCCCACCAAAGGAGAAAATGTTTACCACAAATTAGAATGAAAGGGATATGAGAATGCAGGACACAGCACCTATCAGCCAGGGATTCTTAAGCTGTTTTTTTCAGTGGTGGGGGAGGTTGCAAACCCCTTTAAGAATCTAATGAAGGCTCCAGTCCCTCCTCCAGAAAGCACAGGTAAGCATATGCACACAAAACAGACTCCAGGGCCAGGTGCGGTGACTCATGCCTATAATCCCAACACTTTGGGAGGTCAAGGCAAGTGGATTGCCTGAGGTCAGGACTTCGAGACCAGCCCGGCCAACATGGCAAAACCCCGTGTCTACTAAAAATACAAAAATTAGCTGGGTGTGGTGCAGTAATCCCAGCTACTCGGGAGGCTGAGATGGGAGAATCGCTTGAACCGA